ACACGCTAGGTTGGTCGCTGCCCCGGATGCCCTGAGACTGACCCGTTTTGGTTATAGGGACCCGGACGTGGGGGTGGGGGTCGCTTCAGCTCTGGTTCCATCCGCCCCTCCAAGTCCTTCCCCTTCTGTTGCTCGTTCCGTCCCCCCCCCCTTGCTGCCGGCTCCTAAATGTCTGAGGGTTTCGGAGCCGGGGCAGGGTTTAGTCGGTTGTGAGACTCGGGCGGTCTCGGGGGTGTCCCCTTCTGGGGCAGTGGCGGAGGCATTCGAGCCTGGTCCTTCTGCCGAAGCTTCTGGGTCTGGCCAGTGGGCCCCCTTTGTTCCTGCTTTGTCGGCTGCTCCCACCTTTTCTTTGGGGGTGGGGGCTCAGGAAGACGGCTCGGCCCCGGGCCTTCTGGGTGAGGTTCCTGGGGTTGGGGAGGGGTTGGCTTGGGGGCCTTGGGCCCCATTGGACCCCGCCTGTTTTTTTTTTTTTGCCCTCCGAGCGGGGCTTGGTGTTACAAGGAGAGGGGTTCTCTTTCTCTCCCTCCGCGTACGAATTGGGTTTGGTGTCCACCCCTCCCCGAGTTAGGTTCCGTGATCCCGAGGGTTCTTCGGTTCCGTCTTTCCAGAGGTTTCCCACCTCTGTTTTTCCCTCTGAGGTTTTGGCGGCTTACCTCTTGCGTGACCCGGATTATGCCTTCCTGATGGATCCTCGTTCCTTTATGTACGGTTCCCCAGGTTCGTGCTGGTTTCGTTATGAGGTTCCGGAGTCGTCCTGGTTGGCAGACTGTCCTCTCTTTTCATTGGAGGCTTGGCACATGTTCTGTCGGTCCCGTGCGCTTGAGTGGCGAGAAGTTTCCTTGGCGTTGCAGGTTTTCCTGGGGGGCGCTTTTGAGCATCTGAATGCTTGTTTGTTAGCCCCTGCCCTTCCGTGGGATGTTGGTGTCATGCAGCTTCACGTGCAGGTTCCTTCCCTCTCGGCTGCCTTGATTGCGGAGGATTTGCGGACTCGTGGCCTGCTTGCTTCGGCTCTGCGTTTCTTTTCCCTCCTGGAGCTATCCTCGGATTGGCTCGAGTTGGATGTGGGAGCGCTTGGGGCCGCTGCTGGGTCTGGTGCGCTGCCCTCGGCTGTGCGGGCGTCGTCTGCTTTGTTGAAGCTCTTCGCGCCCATCCTGCGTGATGCGGTTTCGCGGTTCTATGCTTCTCGCCTCGCGTGCCGTCAGGTGGTGCTAGCTTCCTCCTTGGAGTCCGCCTGGGCCCTGGCTCTTCGTTTATCCTCGCCCTTTTGTCCGTTGCTGTTTGTGGAGTCTGCGGTGGGGCAATATCTGCAGGCAGCCTCGGTTAGTTGTCGGCCTATGTTGGAGTTGTTGTTGCTCCAGGGGGCTCGTGGGGGGCCTTCCCGGAAGGGTCGTGCCAGGGCTCGGGGGTCTTTTCGTCGGGGTAGGCCTTTGGTGCCAGATTCGGGGCTGGCGGCGCCTTCGGTTCTGGCTGTTGCTGGACGGAGTGGGCTCCGTCCTGTTCGCCGCCTTGGTTCTCGCAAGGTGCGTCGGCCCTTTCGCGGTTCGCCCCATTGACGGGGCGATGGGGGGGGGGGCGGCGGCTCGCCCGGTTTGCCCACGCCTGGTCCCACGATTCATGGGCTTTTTGGGTCGTTTCGCGCGGCCTGTGGTGGCGTTGGGTGGCTCTTCCTCCCTCAGGGGGTTCAGGGCTTGCGGGGCAGGCCTCTTCTCCTGCGCTCTGTCAGGTCATCTCGGAGTGGGTTCGCTTGGGCGTAGTCGAAACGACGTCGTCCCTCAGGTGGGTTTCCCCCCTGTTTCCGGTTCCGAAACGGGACTGCGCGGACCTCCGGTTCATTCTGGACTTGTCCCGTCTGAACCCGTGGGTGTTGTGCCCCTCCTTTTCGGATGACTACGCTGTCCCAGGTCTGTCTTCTCTTGGAGAGGGGCGCTTGGATGGTGTCCCTGGATCTCAAGGACGCGTATTGGCACGTCCCGGTTCATCCGGAGTTCAGGGACTGGCTCGGTTTTGTTGTGGGGCGTCAAGGTTACCGCTTTCGTTGTCTTCCCTTCGGGTTGAATCTGGCGCCACGTGTTTTCACATGCCTCACTCGGGTCGTGGTGGCCCGCCTGCGTCTGCTAGGTGTTCGGGTGCTGGCCTATCTCGACGACTGGCTGGTTTGGGCTCCCAGCCGGTCCGCGTGTCTGCTCGCCAGGGATTTGGTTCTTTCCCAGCTCGCCAGATTCGGGTTCTTGGTGAACTGGAGGAAGTCCCATCTGGTTCCCTGTCAGGTTCGGTCTTGGCTGGGTCTGGTTTGGGACGCTTGGACTGCTTCCTTGTCTCTTCCTCCGGCGGGTCTCTTGCGCCTGCGGTCCCGCCTTCGCCTGTTTCTGAGGGGTTCCCGGGTCACAAGGCGGTTGCTCGAGAGTTTGTGCGGGAGCCTGAACTTTGCCGTGATGGTCTACCCGCCGGGTCGGGTGTGGCTTCGTCGGCTGTTCTGGTTCCTTCGGGGCCGGCCCTTCCGCCTCTCTCGCGATCGTTGGGTTCGACCTCCGGGGGCTTTGCGTCGGTTGCTGCGTCGCTGGTTTCCTCTTCGGGTTTTTCGGGGTTCGGTGCCTTGGCGCCTTCCCGTGCCCTCGCTCGATGTGTACATGGAAGCGTCATCTCTTGGCTGGGGTTTTGTGACCAGTGCTCACCAGGCCGGCCAGGGACGGTGGGTTCCGTCTTTCCGTTGGGCTCACAGCACAGTGCGGGAGTTCGCGGCAGCGTGGATTTCGCTTCGGAGGATTCGAGTCGCTCGCGGATCGACGATCCAGCTCCATTCGGACTGCACCCCGGTGGTTCATTGTTTGAGCCAAGGGGGTTCGATGCGATCCTTGGCTCTTTGGGCTGGTCGCTTCGGGTGACTCGTCTGCTGAGTTCTCGGGGTTTGGCTCTCCTGGCGGTTCATGTCCGGGGGGTGTTCAACGTCCTGGCGGACGGCCTGTCTCGGTTCCGTCCCCTGTCCTTGGAGTGGACGATCGATGCCGACTCCTTCTGTTGGCTGTGCCGGATGTTTGGGACTTCGGATGTGGATCTCTTCGCGTCGGCGTGGTCGAGGCGTCTTCCAGTTTATGTGGCGCCTTTTCCCGACTGCGAAGCCGTCGGGGTCGACGCCTTCCGGCTGGACTGGGCGAGGTGGGATTACCTGTACATCTTTCCCCCGGTTCCGCTGTTGCTCCAGGTCCTGACTCGCTTGGAGACTTACCAGGGTCGTGTGGTCCTTTTGGCCCCTTGGTGGCCGGCCCAGCCTTGGTTTCAGGCATTGCTTGCTCGGTGTCCGTACCCGAGGGTCTTCCCGCGGCTCCGCCTCTTTCAGCAGATCGGTCCGGCCCTGTACGAGGCTGGTTCCATCTTCTCCTCGAGTCTTCGCGTCTGGTGTTTTTGACTCAGGTTTATCATTCGTTGTATGGTGCGCAGGTGGCTTCATTGTTGGTCTCCCACCTGCGTGCTTCGTCTCAGCGGCAGTATGAGGTTTCCTGGCGGTCCTTCCGGTTTTTCCTATCATTGCGTCGGTGTTCTTCGGTCTCTGATAGGGTTGTTCTGTCCATTCTCTCTTGGCTGTTTCAGGACCGTCATCTTATGCCGAATACTGTCGCTTCGTATCGTGCGGCGTTGGCGGAGCCACTTCAGCTTGCTTTCGGGGTTGATGTTACTTCAGCCCCGTTTCGCAAGTTATCCCGGGCGTTGTTTCACCTCCGGCCTGCTCATGCGCCGCCTGAGCTGTCTCGGTCTTTGGACCGAGTGCTCTCGTTTCTCTCTCTGCCCCGGTTTGTGGTGGCCCCTTCCGTTCGGGATTGTTTTTCCAAGGCTCTTTTCCTGTTGGCATTAGCCTCGGGGGGTCGGGTTGGCGAGCTTCATGCTCTCCTCCAGCGCTGGGGTTTCTGCTCTTTCGGTCCTGGTGGTCGTTTTGTTCGTTTGCAGCCGTCTTCCTCTTTTCTGGCGAAGAATGAGTCGGCTGCATTCCGGAGGGGGCCGTGGGTTGTTGATGCTTGGTTGGTCAGGCCGGGGGTGCATCATGTGTTGTGTCCAGTTGCGGCTCAACGCTGTTATTTGCGCGCCACGGCTTCTGTTGCCGGGGATGCGCTCTGGGTTGATCCAGTTTCCCTTCTTCTCTGTTCCCGGGCTCGGGTCTCTCAGGTTGTCCGCAGGGTTATTAAGTGTAGCCAGCCTGCGGTTTTTCCCCGAGCCCACGACGTTCGTAAATTTGCTGCTTTGGCGGCTGTCTTTGGCAACATGTCTTGGGTGGACATTCGGGCCCGGGGTTTTCGGAGATCGAACAGGGTCCTGGCCGCTCGCTACCTGGTGAAGGTTCCTGGGCCTCGTCGGGCCTGCGTTGCTTTGGGTCGATGGTTGCAGCCAGTTGTCTCGCCTTCGCGTTGAGGAGTGAGGACGGACCGCCGCCCGGGTAAGTCCCTGTTTTTTCCTTATCTTTGGGTAGTTAGCTCCGGGGAGCCGACGGGGCTCCCCCCAGAATTCCAGCGTTGAATGTAATGAAATGCCATTTTCTGGGTGAGTCCCGGAGGCTCCCCGGCATCCCTCCCTCCCTCCGGTTGGCGGTGTTTTTTGCATTTTTGACATCCAGCCTAAGAACTAATGGTTGGGTTGCCGACGGTGGGGTCTGGGGCTCCCCCCCTCCCCCTCCCGGGGAGGGGGGGAGGTTGCGCAGACGGCGGCGCGGCGACATGATGATGTCATGAGGGCTAATTTTCGTTTGGGGAGTTCTGTCCACCTGTTCGATCTTCGGTCGCAATAGTTTACCAGAATAGGGGGTTTGTTTTGGGGCGCCTACCTTTCTGGGTGCCTGTCCCGGTCGATGGCAGACATAGAATGCTCCCAATCATAAGGGGGGTCTCTATAGGCCATTGCTCCTCGTGCCTCTCTAGAGGGGGCCAGATTCTGGCTCGTGGTCCCCGGTAGGCAAGAACTCCATGCATTGACTGATGCCAGAAAGTTATACATATCCATTCAGCCTGGATAGCTCCGGGAAGCCTCTGGGACTCACCCAGAAAATGGCGTTTCATTACATTCAACGCTGGATTTTTATACTTTTCTAGTTCTTAATTAACCTCCTCTATTTGAGTTACCAATGAAGTTTCTTGTTCTAGGTGTACTCACCCAGTTGTGCTTGTGGGGTTGAGCTCTGGCTCTTTGGCCCCACCTCTCCTGAGGGAGAAGGAGATCAGAACTTCTCTTATTGGTGAGTGCAAACAAACTACTGTCGCATGTATGCTATGAACCTGTCGATTTCTTACCTTATATATTTTTTCTCCATTTTCCTTCATTTCTCCTTTACGAACTTGCACGATAATCGACGGGTCTCGTCCTCAAGAGTTTTGGAAACCAAATGGTGCTCTGTAGCTTATGTTTGAGTGGTTTGGGTGGGCTTGGCAATTGTAAGGATTAGCATACAGGAGTTCATACTGTTTAGGAAATAGTCGACTTGGGGGCTATCTTGTTGACATTGGTCAAAATTGAAGTCTCCTCCTAGAATGATGTGATTTTTGTTGAGATTGTTTTTTATGATAAAATTCCTTAGGTTATCTGAGAATGAAGCTATGTTAGCATTGGGAATCTATAGATAGCTCTGATAGTCGAGGAGGATTTAAGGGATTTATGCGAGAACTGGGCAAATGTATATTCACAGTAGTCGTCTCTATTGCAGTATTATTAATGGCACTCTATTAATGGCACTATTGCAGATGAAGGTATCTTGGTAATATATAGCTGTGCTACCTCCTTTTTTATTTGGCCTACAGCTATGAATGGCTTTATAACCAGCTATGTTGTAAAGTTGGGTATAGTCTTTACTTAGTCGGATTTCTTTTAAAATAATGAACGATAGTTTAGTACCTAGTGCTGCGAGTAGTGTATTTATATCATCAAAATCTTTACCAAGTGAAATGACATTTTGGTTGAAAACTGATAAGCAAGTGTTATTTTGGAGTTTGTTTTTTGCTGTGTAATACTTGCAATAGTGATGATCAGTATGCTGATTACTGTAAATTTGTGACAGAAGATTGATTTCAGGATCAATATCAGCTTGCATGTAGATGCATTGGGGTCAAGATACAATAAGACAAGCAATTACAGAACAGTTAAATACTAAATCTGCTGTAAATATAAAGTAAATATAGTAAAAACACAACAATAAATGCAAATACACATATAATAAAAATAGTTAGAGGTAAAATAAAGATCACTGTAGATAGGCAAGAAGGATACAGAAGTTAGGTAAAAAATAAATCAAATAAAAAAATTGACAAGAATAATGTATAATGAGAATAATAATAAGAATACTAATCATAAAGTAAAATAATCTTAATGATAATTAACTTTAAGTAGCTTAGTTATGATACTATAATTAGTATGAACTTAAGAAAACAAAAATGAACTAAAAAAATTAATTCCGATAAATGACTAATATAAATCAAATTACAATTAAATTTAAAGATAAGGTAAGATTATACATATGAGTAAGATTTTACTAAGATACTGAGGTAGATACTTATTTAAGTACATGGAGACTTTAATGATTAGTTAGGAATTTTTCAGAAGGATGAAAGAGCATTTTTTTTACCAATAAAGCGAAGTAGATGGCTACATATTGGTTTCTGTCACTTTGATAGGATCGGATATAGTTCAGGGCAAGGCCTCGGGTTCCATAATGGTGAAGTTTTAGTAAGAGGTAGTTATAGTTAACAGTATCAAAGGTCTTTCTCAGGTCAATGAAGAGTCCACTTGGGAACTCACTTTTGTCAAGGGCTGTGTAGATTATATCAAGCAGACTAATAATTTCATTGTTGGTACTCTTTTTGATAGTTTTTTTTTTAGTTCATTTATTATGCACCCCATACCCATCTTGTGGGCGGTAGTGGAAAGGGTTGCAGAGGCTCATAATGGGCTCAGGGACTGAACCCCACAATTCATATAACTAAACAAGTTACAATCTTGATGAGCTAGTTACAAAATTCAATATAAGTCGTCACATCATCAATGGGTTCGAGAATGACCACAAGTACGAGAGGAAGCCAAACTGACAGGGACTTAGTATGTTGAATTTTACATGGTATGTGGGAACCGACCTGTGAGATTTATATTTATTTAATTTATATGAATTTATATTTACGTTAATTTATATACTTCGATAGCAATTTGTATAATGATAAGTGGACTGTATTTCTGCAATAATCTCTTAATCTCACAAATCGATCCTCTACACATTAGGGGGGTTATTAAATTAATATATATGCAGCCAATCAAATTACAGAATTAACTACATACATTGAAAAGGTTCCTTATCTTATAGTACAGCAGGTTAGTCCACCAGGTATAACTAGGGTGTAGACACCAAATTATCCTCTTTGAGGTAGCTTCCATATCACCCAGTAACTGGTGCACAAATCTTCCTTCCTCGTCTTGACCTGTCAAAAGTGCGCTAGCTGTGAAGCCAGAATCCTATATATGACAAGTATATCAGAGAAAACACTATACAGTACATGGAACATTAAAGACCTGGCTTAATTACCTTTAGTATGAGGCGATTTCGCGTTCTAACCGGGTCACCCTATATAATGACATTAATGGCCACTAATGATAGATAATGGGTTTCGGAAAGAACACTTAACTTGATATGTAGACAGCGTGTTGAAAAATGGTACACCTTTGGTTTCCATAACACTACGTCCAAGTAAATTTAACAGGAGCCGAATTTGCTCCCGTGTGAGCCTCTGGTCTCAATAAACAATGGCTGTTTAACACTCCATACTATTGACGTTACTGGCCGACATTGTCCAGAATGATAGAAGCTAAATTTGCTCCACACGTCTCGGAGGTGACACAACAATGGCTGCCCTCCTTCCCCACTCCCTGACGCCTGGCCTACTTTGTCCACATGTCAGAAAGTGATAGAAGGGTCACATTTATTCTACTTTAATATTGATAATTAAGTTACTTTATATAAGATGTTTTTATGATGGTAAAGTCCAAAGACTAATGTATTTAAGAATAATTCCCACCATAATAGGTGGTGAATTATAATAGTATGTGGTGATGATATCCCGTTTTCTATAGACGGTAATTCCACTACAAGTTACGTTTTCTATGGGTAACTTGTTTATACAACAGCAATTATCTGTATGATATATTGAATGGTGTCGGATTTTCCGACATGGTAAGAGTTGAGCTGTTTATAAATATTTTTTTTTTCAAATATTTTTAATAATATAGGTAGATTTAATATTGGTCTGTAATTGTTTATGCCGTATGGCATTTATGAACTGGCGTTACTCGTGCTTTTTTAAGGATATCAGGGGAAAGTATTACACTAGAGATTTGTTGAATAGCAGAGCTATAGGTGGTACAAGGGCAAGGAGACCTTCTTTTATACCATAAATGGTATTTCATTAATGTTCCCAGCTTTGGTTTTTAGTAAGTGCATGATAGACATAACATTTATTGGGTTGACTGGTAAAAGAAGAAGAGAGTTTGGATTGCTGCCTGTAAGGTATGTAGTAACATGTGTGGGGGTCTGTGGGATTTTTCTGTTAAGGTTAGCACCAAATGATGAAAAGAAGGTATTAAATTCAATTGCTGTTTCTAAATCTGTTGCAGGTGTATAACTATCCTTGGAAAGTTTTTTCTGCATGTTATGTGATTGCTGTTTAGATCCTAGGATGTTTGAGATGGGTTTCCATGTGCTTTTCAAGTTGCCTTTTGCATCTTTGAATCTATTCTCATAATAGGAAAATTTTGCTCCTATTGTTATACTTGTAAGCATTGAGGGGTACCTCCTAACTACTACTTTTATAACTATAACAATCCTAAGTTTTTTTCATGTTCATGTTTATTGTTAATTGATTTGAGTATGCCACTTGTGAGCCAGGGGCTGTTTAATCTTTCGACAATTACTTGCTTGGTGAGGAGAGGACAGTGAGTGTTGTAGAAGCTTCAAATTTTGAAAAGGAATACAGTATGTTGACTAATGAATTTATGTCCTGTGTATTATTGAATTCAGATTTCTAGTTTGTATTGTGAAGTGCATTTGTGAGATTGCCTATTGCTGCTTCACTGTGTAGCCTAAATGTAAGTTTCTTGTGTTATGTCCGTGTTAGCTATGAGGAAGGTAGGATAGTGGTCAGTTGTTCTGTTCGTGATTATACCAGATGCAAGGAGAGCTGTTATGTTAGTCCATAAGTGATCCAAGGCAATTGTGGATGTTTGAATGATTAGGGTGGGCTTGGTGATTCTGGGGATTAGTATACAGGAGTTCATGCAATTTAGGAAATAATCGACTTGAGGGCTATTTTGTTGACACAGATCAATATTGAAGTTACTTAGAATAATGTGATTTTTGTTGAGCTTGTTGTTTATAAGATTTCTTAGGTTATCTGAGAATGCAGTTATATTAGTATTGGGAAATCTATAGATAGCTCCAATAGTCAAGGATTATTTAAGGGATTTAAGTGGGAACTGACCTAAGGTATGATCACAGTAGTCATCTCTATCACTAATGAAGATAAAGGTATCTTGGTAATATATAGCTCTGCCACCTCCTCTTTCATTTGGCCTACAGTTGTGAATGGCTGTATAACTGGCTAAGTTGTAAAGTTGGGTATGGTCTTTACTTAACCATGTTTCTGTTAAAAATAATGAACGATTGTTTAGTACCAAGTGCTGTGAGTAGTGCATTTATATCCAACCCATCCTCCGAATTGACAGTACGTTTTAATACTAAGTGTAATAAGTACATTTCCTGACTGCCATACATAGTACATAATTGCACTTATGGGGCTGTTACATTTACTTCCCCATTTTTGGAGGATGGGCTGTTCATATCATCAAAATGTTTACCAAGTGATCTGACATTTTGGTTGAAAGGCAAGTTTTTTTTTTTTTTTTTTTTTGCAAGGTTTGCTGTGTAATACTTGCAGTAGTGATAATCAATATGTTGGTTATTGTAGATTTGTGACAGCATATTTTGTTACAGGTCAATATCAGCTTGCATGTAGATCCAATGGAGTCAAGATAGAATAAAACCTTAATAAACCTAAAGGTTTCATGTCGTCGCCCTTTAATTCACAACTCCTAAAGGTTAAATTCTTCTACCCAGTAGGAGTGTTGGCCTCCAGAAGACGTCCTAGGTCACAAGGCAGCTCCTGCAGTCACCAGGAGGGGATAACTTCACGGAATCTATACGAATCATAAAGATGACAAAACCTCACAGGTGTCCAGAGTGTAGGAAGAAGTTTTGCAGTCTTCAAAATATGAAGATGCACATGTTGTTACACACTGGTGATAAACCTCATGAATGTTCAGAGTGTGGGAAAAGATTCACTCAACTTGGTCATGTGAAGCGGCATATGACTGTTCATACAGGTGATAAATTGCACGAGTGTACAGAGTGCGGGAAAAGATTCAGTCAACTTGGAAATCTGATGACTCATACGAAGATACATACTGATGATAAGCCTCACAAGTGTAGGAAGTGTGGGAAAAAATTCTCCCGTTTGGGATCTATGAAGATTCATATGTTGGTGCATACGGGTGATAAGTCTCACTTATGTTCAGAATGTGGAAAAAGTTTCAGTCGTCTTGATTATATGAAGAGTCATATGTTAACACATACAGGTGATAAACCCCATGAGTGCCCAGAATGTGGGAAAAGATTTAGTCATATCACAAATATGAAGACTCACATGACGGTGCACACTGGTGATAAACCGCATGAGTGTCCAGAGTGTGGGAAAAGATTCAGTCGTCTTGGAGGCATGAAGACTCACATGTTTTTACATACAGGTGATAATACACATGAATGTCCAGAGTGTGGGAGAAGCTTCAGTCGTCTTTGTAATATGAAGACTCACATGTTAGTGCATACGGGTGATAAACCTCATGAGTGCCCAGAGTGTGGGATGAGATTCAGTCAACGTCAAAATATGAAAAGGCATATGAAGGTCCATAAAGGTGATAAATTGCACGAGTGTTCAGAGTGTGGGAAAAGATTCAGTCAACTTGAAAATTTGGAAAGGCATATGATGGTTCATGAAGATGATAAATTGTTTGAGTGTCCGGAGTGTGGGAAAAGATTTAATCAAATTGAAGCTATGTTGACTCACACAACAATTCATACAACTGATAAACCTTTTGAGTGCGCTGAATGTGGGAAAAGATTTAGGCACCGTAATAGTATAATACGTCACATATTAGTACATCCTGGTGACAAACTTCACAAGCTCTGATGCTCTTGTCATTTAATGGGTGTCGGTAGTACAGTTGGATTTGTTTTCGGCTTGCAATTGGGAATCCCGGGTTTGAATCTTGGGGAGGACACGAAAATGGTTGGGCATGATTCCATTTGTCTAAGGCCTCTGTTCACCTAGCATTAAATAGATAACCAGGAGCTAGGCAACTGTTGTGGTATTGCATCCTAGAGAAGGTCAGTACAGTACTTCAATCTTGGTGTGTACCTCGAAATCAGAACCCCTCATGGCTTAGATAACATAGGAACAATGTGCCAGGGAAAGAGGCAGCAACCCGTGACTACACAGCTATACCACCGGTTGCCAGCCTTCTTATGATTTAATCCTTTAATTAAAAGGGTTACCACTCAAACCTGTCAACAGCTCAGAGCTTCCACAGGTATCTTGTTAATAAATTATCGTCTACAGTATATTAATTGTAAATTTAATGTCGAAGACAAGATGAACCTTGTTCTAGTGTTTACATCTTGTAATCTTATCTTGTTATCTAACTTCAATAATTTTTTAAGATTCAGCATACTATATTAGATTATGAAATCAATAATGACCTTCCTGTTTTCTGAAATCAATACTGACTGTTTTTTCTGAAATAATTGATGATTATTGTTCATGCTTTCAGGAATAACTATGGCATTTTTCTCTTACTGTTCACATTCATCGGTGCAAATTCATCTTCAATGATGCCTCTTTTGCTTTCATATAATCTTTTTTTAACTTTTGTCTGTAGCTGTACACTTTTGTGCACAAAAATAGCTGTGCACTTTTGTCCATAGCTGTACACTACCAAATGTAAGGTTACAGTTAACAGTTATTCGTCAGGTCATGGTACACTACCAAACATAAGGTTACAGTTAACATCAATATATCAGATCATTATATACTGATTTTCATGAAATTTCTGTGTCTGTGATACAAATGACAAGTAATTACCTAAATGTAATTATCTAAGTAGTTACAGGATTGAGAGCTATGCTCGTGGTGTCCCATCTACCCAGCACTCTTTGTCATATAACGCTTAGAAACTACTGACGGTTTTGGCCTCCACCACCTTCTTACCTAATTTGTTCTAACCGTCTACCACTCTGTTTGCAAAAGTAAATTTTCCTATATTTCTTTGGCATCTTTGTTCAGTTAGTTTAAATCTATGACCTCTTGTTCTTGAATTTCCAGGTCTCAGGAAATCATCCCTATCAATTTTATCAATTCCTGTTACTATTTTGTATGTAATGGTGATCGTATCTCCTCTTTTTCTTCTGTCTTCTAGTTTTTGCATATTTAATGTCTCTAACCTCTCCTTGTAGCTCTTGCCCTTCAGTTCTGGAAGCCACTTAATAGCATGTCTTTGCACCTTTTCCAGTTTGTTGATGTGCTTCTTAAGATATGTTCACCACATAACCGCTGCATATTCTAGCTTTGGCCTAACAAAAGTCGTGAACAGTTTCTTCAGTATTTCGCCATCCATGTATTTAAAAGCAATTCTGAAGATAGAAAGTGTAGCCTAGGTTCCTCGCACAACGTTCTTTATGTGGACCTCAGGTGATAGTTTTCTATCTAGAACCACTCCTAGATATCTTTCTTCATCAGAATTCTTTAAAGCTTTCTCAAATTATTTATAGGTTGTGTGGGGTCTTTGTTCTCCTATTCCACATTCCATAACATGGCATTTATTCACATTAAATTCCATTTGCCAAGTGGTGCTCCATATATTTATTTTGTCCAGATCTTCTTGAAGGGCATGACAGTCATCTAAGTTTCTTATCCTTCGTTTTTTCTTAGCATCATCAGCAAACATGTTCATATAATTCTCTATTCCATCTGGTAGATCATTTATGTAGACAATGAACATCACCGGTGCAAGAACTGAACCCTGTGGTACTCCACTTGTGACATTTCTCCAGTCCAATACATTGATTTCTTATTGTGTCTGGTTCTCTGAAGATCTCATTTTTTATAAATACACTTTGGGACTTTGCGTTCAATGCTTCACACATTTCCTTTTCATTTTCTGTCTATCTGTCCTCCATTTTCAACCTCTAATTATTATCTTGCTTTTAATGAATTTATAGAAAAGGCCTGGATCTGATTTACATTTTTCGCTTATACAGTTCAACCTCGATTCAATATACCCTGATTCAACGAATCTCCGGCAAGTTCGCCACTTTTCAGGCCGGATTTACTCACCCGGTTCAACGAACAATGGTTCTTCGAAGCGGGGGATGTTCGGATTTGCTTACGATGTCGAGACAGAGTTCACAGACTGGTGGAAACCTTTCCCATTCTATCACAGATTACAATTAATAATTAGCTCATATGACAAGTTCGATGACACAAGTGGACCACACAAGTGAACCACCAAAGTGGTTCACAAGCTTACGATGTTGGGACAGAGTTCACAGAGTGGTGGAAAACTTTCCCATTCCATCATAGGTTACAATTAATAATTCCTTCATATGACAAAGTTGGACCACACAAGTGGACCACACAAGTGGACCACACAAGTGGACCTCACAAGTGGACCTCACAAGTGGACTACAAGTGGTCCACAAGCTTATGATGTTGGGACAGAGTTCACAGAGTGGTGGAAAACTGTCTCATTCTGTCACAGATGACAAATAATAATTCCTTCATAAGACAAGTTGGTTCACACAAGTGGACCACACAACAAGTGAACCATATGAACCAAACACCAGCCAGAATGGTCCACTCATCTGTGTCATCATAGTTCAGTGAGCCATGACTTTGAACGTTTCAGATTAATAAATCACTTCTAAAACTGGTGTTTTAATAACTCTTTATTATAATAATTACACTAAACTAAATAAAACCAAAAAATACTGTAATATGATAGATATCTGCTATTTGAGAAATTATTCATGCTATTGGTGGCACAACTCCAGCGCGAGTGGACGGGTCTAATCCGTGTGCACACAACACTATGTGTGTTTTATTCAGTTTTGTCACCACAGTTCAGTGACCCATGGCTTCAAAATAATAAACTAATTAAATGAGTTCTAAAATAGGTATTTTTTATAGCTCTTATTATCATAATAATGTTGCTAAACTAAATATATAACCTAAAATATTTAATTTGATGTAAATCGAATATATGAGAGAAATTCATGTTACTAGATCTGTCTTAAACACCAGCCTACTGTAAGGTGTACATATAGACCTAGTCTGTGTTCGTACAGTATGCACCCAGTGCCCTTAGCTTTGTCTGCGATTGACATACAGTATTTATCCACCGGTGGAAGAATAATTGTGGAATTTACCATTTTTTTACTACAGCTGTATTGTTATACAACAAAATGTCTCATGGGCTTACTAATAGTGCCTTATTAATGCCAAAAATGAAGCAATATTTTGCAAGAACTTGTAGCAGAAAATCAACCAGCACGAGCACAGCCGCACCCAGCATGAGAACAGCCGTACCCAGCATGAGAACAGCCGTACCCAGCACTGGTACAACAGCAGCCAGCACCAGCTCAGAAGCAGCTGAAGCCACAGCAGCAGCGAGCACCAGCAAAGCTGATGCAAACATCTAAAAATATCGTGAGTGGCGTGAACAGTGAGAACAAGTGCTAAATTTAAGTGTGTACGCAGAGTTAAAATTAAAGTTACAGTAACTTTAGTGTACAATAGTTTTCATAAACTGTATTGTAGTACTCAACATACAGCAGAGCTACTTAATCAACACAGTGTTAATGCTATAATCACTACAGTACGTATTTACAGCATTCATAACTCCATGAGACTTCAAGATGGACATAACTCCAACAATAAGGTAAATAACAAATGTAACACTATTTTTTAGTAGGGTAATAATATATAGGTACAGTATATTATATGATAATGCATTTTTATTGTGTACAAGAAAAAAAAGACACTGATGCAAACGCCTCCTGAAGGTCACCTCTTGCAAATCATCCAATGCTCCAACGCACTGGGGTTGGTCCCATATAGTGCGTTGAATCGAGGTTGTACTGTACTGTGTATATGCAGCATCCAGGAGGCCTGGCCGACGACCGGGCCACGGGGACACAAAGCCCCGGAAGCAGCTCAAGGTAACCTTGATATATATATATATGATGTCAGTCCCCAATAAAACAAAATAAATTATAATTGTTATTAATGTCTTAGAAATCAAATTAATTTTAGTCGACACCAGATGATGCATATTTTGGATGAACCTTGAGTGCCATTTAATCAAGTTGTACAGTATTATATCGAATACATGTCAGAACATAACTTCCCATTGATCCAATATACTGTTTAGAAACAGGACTTTATATTTAGTGTACAGTGTAATGTCATTTGGACATCCAGCAAATGGCTGTATATGGAAGTTCTGAGTTTCATTTAAAATATACTGGGGAGGTAGTATTTTAATATAATCTGCTATTTACCAACATTTCAATTCACTTCATTCATCAAGCAAGCCGCAGTGAAGCTGCAAATAATAGGAAAACTCAGAAATTTTCATACGTAAACAAGTTAAAAAAAAATTGTATTTTTCCATATATAAAATTTAGAACATGCTTTTGTTCTGATGATTTTGTTTTGTGTGTGTGTGTATATATACACATACATATATACTGCTTATATATATTCTGCATATACATATATTATTATATACTGTATACCTGTATATATATTATTCACTTATATTATTCACATACATATATTCTGCATACTTGAATCAGTGTTTTTGTGATCATTGTTGCATGTGTGTATATATATATATATATATATATATATATATATATATATATATATATATATATATATATATATATATATATATATATATATATATATATATATATATATATATATATATATATATATATATATATATATATATGTCGTACCTAGTAGCCAGAACTCACTTCTCAGCCTACTATGCAAGGCCCGATTTGCCTAATAAGCCAAGTTTTCATGAATTAATGTTTTTTCGTCTACCTAACCTAACCTAGCTTTTTCTGGCTACCTAACCTAACCTAACCTTACCTATATCTATAGGTTAGGTTAGGTTAGGTAGGGTTGGTTAGGTTCGGTCATATATCTACGTTAATTTTAACTCCAATAAAAAAAAAATGACCTCATACATAGTGAAAAGGGTAGCTTTATCATTTCATGAGAAAAAAATTATAGTAAATATATTAATTCAGGAAAACTTGGCTTATTAGGCAAATTGGGCCTTGAATAGTAGGCTGAGAAGTGAGTTCTGGCTACTAGGTACGACATATATATATATATATATATATATATATATATATATATATATATATATATATATATATATATATATATATATATATATATATATATATATATATATATATGTTGTACCTAGTAGCCAGAACACCATACTTGGCCTACTACGCAAGGGTCGATTTGCCTAATAAGCCAAGTTTTCCTGAATTTATATATTTTTCTAATTTTTTTCTTATGAAATGATAAACCTATCCATTTCATTATGTATGAGTTTATTTTATTTAATTTGAGTTAAAAACTAACGTTGACATATAACCAAACCTAACCTAACCTAAACTAACACAACTAAGTCAATAATTTTATATTCTTAGGATATTATAATAATAATAATACAAACCAATTGGGAACAATTTTTTGAAAATTTAGAAAATCACTCGGCCTATTAGGCAAATCGGGCCTTACATGGTAGGCCCAGAAGTGTGTTCTGGCTACTAGGTATGACATATATAATATACATATATATATCTTAATGAAGTTGTATTATTAAAATGAAAGTACTTAAGGAAATTCCTGTTTTAATTCTTCCTTCGTGGTCTGACACTGTCACACTTTTCATCACGTGTTAATTTTCGTAATTCACACACACACACACACACACACACACACACACACACACACACACACACCTCCCTCCTCCACCAATCCCCCCGTGCCAGGTCCCCCCAGCTCCCACTCACCCCAGATCGCAAAGGTCCCCCCCAGAAAAGCAAAAGAGAGTCAGTTTCAGGGTGATGTACTCGAACATAGATGGGATCACAAGCAAGACAAGTGAACTAAGGGAAAGAGCACAAGAAGTTAACCCAGATGTA